TAAATTTGAAACCTAATTTGACCGACTGTTGTCCTTTATAATTTCATACAAAAAGCGTATACTGACAAAAAAAAATTGTAATCTAAAACAGTAAGTAGGTATAACTAACATAATTTTCTATGTTATAATAATTTTACTGCGTCAAATGTGATAAATCGCATTAGTAAGATTCGCAGTAATCTTCTTCAATGCCATCACATTCTTCATTCACAAAACCGCACTGTTCCTAGCCCTCTCCTTCGGGAAATCTTAGAAAAGTGTCTGAATAAATAAAACATTGCACGTCTTCTAGTGAAACTTATATTTGACTTATTTGTTTTATGAATATAATATAAGGAATATGAGTAGAAACAATCAATTTATCATTAAAGTTAAACATCTCGTAAATGCCGCATATACACAAACTAATTTGAAATTTAGGTCTTTTATCATAATAAAATTGTACTCGTATTGCACAAGAAGTGCCTGTATTTAAAATAACAGCGTGGGATCATTTTATCCACAGGGATTATTTTGGACCACATTCCCCTATTGTTTGTTATTATTACTTCTCAGTAATACTTCTCATTACTACAACATAAATTAATATGCATTCTATAGACAGGTAATACTTAAAAAAAAAACTTTTACCCAATCATCAATTCGTCTTTAGATGAAAAAACTAATCATCAATGTCACAGAAGAATTGTCTATTAGATACAGTATGACAAATCTAAAGAAAACAAAAATATTCATATTCAACAAGCGTTTGATAAGGTATAACATTAGGGTCTGTTATTCAAACTAAAACAGAAACTTCCTGATCAAATATACGTAATACTCAAATCATACCTAAATAACAGATGTTTCCAAGTTAAATTTAATGATTCCCTGTCCAATCACCAATACTTTAAATCCGAAATTTCTCAAGAAAGTGTCCTTTCCCATATCTTTCCTATACTGCAGATGTTACAAATGAGAGTAACACTTTAATGGCTACTTTTGCAGACGGCAATGCCAGTTTGTCATCCTAATAGCACTGGAAAATAAAAGTAAACAAATCTACCAAAAATAACATTTATCACGAATCTTTTTACAGGTCATGATCAATAGCATATCAATTCTTACGAAATTCCAGACTAAAAACTTACTCGGAGAGCTCATTCTCATATCACAGCAACAAGTAAAAGTGAAGGTACAAAAATGTAATGGTTAGTTGAACTACGTTCTCAACTATTGTTAGTATACAACACGTATGGCATAGAACTATAATAGCTGCAAATCATCTAACAACAAAACATTGCAATCATTTCAGTAGAAATTGCCGCGCATGTTGACAAATACTTCATGGTTCGTTAGTAATATATTTTTCCTACATTAATAATACCAATCAACACCTTGGCTACAAAAAAACAAAAGTGCAACAAGAACCATGCCAATTAGTTGACGGCTGGCCTGTACAACACCCCGCTGTCAACATAAGATGGAAAAGACATTTGCTAGAGACACTTTAATGGATAGTGTCCAAATCTAAGAACTCAGCAACTAAAAACACATCATTTGCCTATTATTCTGATTGCTGGTTTTAACCCCCTCCACATTTTGCTGGAAAGGAAGACCAGGCTGGTCTCCTATAGACTCCTGTCGGTGGGTAGTCAATGCAATTAAGAAGTATGATGGAACGAAAAGAAACTTGTGAATGAGAATAATAACTACCAGAGTACCACATTCTCGGCATGGTTGCACACTCGATGATTTCCCTACAGCACATAGCAAAGTTCTATAGCGTCCTCATTCCAAAGAAAGACGTATTACGCAGAACAAATGAAACCATCTCTCAGGCGGACTATGCTCTGAGGTATACATGGCTCCAGAACTGAAAAAAGATTAGAAGCATGAGTTTGGACGAGGAGTCAAGAATTGACATATTAATAAACCTGGGCTCAATGGCCACGATCTTCCAAGCAGAAATGATCCCTAAAGAAACGAGAGACGAATAACCAACATGCTGTCCTTAAAGTCCTTGATCTCCAAACCAGTTGACTCAAAGCTGGTTTGGAATAGTATAAATACCCCTGAGTGTCTCGATGCTCGAAATAAAGTAACTTTGATCTGGGTTCCGGCTCACACGCGAAGGGCAATGAAATAACTGACGCGCTCTCCAAAAGAGGAAATGAATCTGAGTTTCTAGGACCAGAACTATTCCTGGGCATTCCAAAGAGCACTGTGAAAGGAATTATCTCAAAACTGAAAAACTCATTCGAAGATGTTTATATCCAACCCTTTAATGAAAGTCTTTGCTCAGATCTGGGAATGAAGTAGGAAAATTATGTGCATCCTCACGGGACTGATGACAGGTTAAACATGAGCCACAATGGTTTCATTTGAGTCAAAATGGAAGGCGATGAGATCATTCTACTCATTATTAACCTAATCTATTATTTTAATATGAATTGAGTAGATTGTAAATTCGTATTGCATTATAAAACATGTTTCTAATTCGTGTATTTTTTGTTTTAAACATGGACAATAAATATTCTCGTAGATCCAGGTTCCATCCCGAGCTGGAGCACTATTTTTCTTTTATTCCCTACTTTTTTAATTTTTATTTTCTTTCTGGGGCTGTGGGAAAGGTTTCCTTAATTTTGTAGGGAAAATTGGGGTTTTCCTTTTTACATTTCTAAATTCTTTATTATTCGGATCTTTCTTTCTGTACATTTAGGTTTACTGTGATTTGTACATGAATGACTGGCGAAACATTGACAGACAAAGGAAATATTTTTAGTATATGCTAAGCGTGGCGTCTTTCAGCAGCATTATTGGATATGAGGAGAATTAACAGAGTTGGGGGAGAGTAGAATGCTTGTGCCGACTACAGTTGGAACCTGATGTCTTCAAATTTGCAAATTCCACTGTATGCTGCGGTTGCCTAATTGGTAAAGGCACTGAGAACAATTTCGATCCTTGAATGGGGCACTTATTTTTATTATTTTCTTAACTTTTTCAATTTTTTTAAAGTTGAGATTATGAGAATGAATTCTTTGAATTGGTAGGGAAATTTATACATTTCCTAATGCATATTTTAATTTTCCGATCTTTAACCAATATTTTCTCCTGTTTTCTTAATAAATATTTTGTTGTAGTGATCTTAAAATTATTTCCAATGTTCCTCTAAAGAAAAATAATAAACTTTATCAGGCAGTTGTCCAGTGTGATATATCTACTTATAAAAAAGTATTAGCACAAGAAAAATTAATCATCTGTTATGATTATTGTATAATTTATGATGCTATTGATTTGAGACGTTGCTTTAAATGTAGTGGATACCATAACTACCCAAGGAATTGTAAATCAACTATTTTCATATGTACGTTCTGTGCACAAAACCATGAGCTAAGAGAATGTCCAAAAACTAGCGAATATTGCATTAATTGTCACAACTACAATAAAACAAATAATAATCAAGATTCGGCTAATTATATAACTCTAGATAATAATAATTGTTATGTATACAAAGAATCAGTGGCCAAATTTAAATCAAGCATTATCTCAGTTTCATAGCGACCAAAGTCACTAAAAAATGTTTCTAAATCATTACGGATTCCTTCAGTTACATGTTATTATCAAAATATCCGTGGGTTAAGAACTAAAACTCGAGAACTTTATATCAATTCTACAATATCATCCGATATATTAGCATTAACTGAGACATGGCTAAACGACTCAATTACAGATTTTGAAATATTTGATGCCACAATATACGATGTATTTCTATTAGACAGACGTTATTCTTTGACTAATCGTTCCAGGGAGGGAGGATGTTTGCTAGCTTTAAAGAAACATCTATCGGCAATATTTAATGATTTAAGCTCGTATAATTTTCTTCGTGATCTAATTAATATTAATATCATTTCCGTGAAAATTAAATAGGATAATGTGTATCTTAGGTTGCTTCATTTTCAGGCAATATTTTTTCTCTGTGCTACCTGAAAATCTGAAACTTTATAAAAAATAAAAAATTATGCCGCCGGGTAAAAGGTTCTAAATGCAATAGCGACTTAGCTCATTCAAAAATTCGATTTCCTATTTAAATAACATAGGAACATTTTTTTGGTTTCAATTTAATTTTTCGATATTAAAAATTTTTTTTAGGAAAAACCCGTAAATAGCTTTTGTAGGGCATGAAATTCGCTACAAAAAGTTTCTATGAATGAATCCCCTCCAACCTACAGTTTTTGAGTTATAGAGCTAGAAAGATGCATATTAATTATATTTCACATCAAATCTTCTTTATATAAACTTCTTAATTTTGCAACACTGTTTCGAACTGGTATCAAAGAGATTTTCGTTTTACAAAATTCTTAAACTTAGATTCAGTGGCTTACCTAGAGATTTATAATTGTACATCAATGAACTTAATACTTCCAGATTATTTGGTAGATTACGTTGGGATAAAAATTTACGTTCATAATCAAGTAAATAAATGTTTTTGCTCTGTTTTATGATTTTATTGTATGTAATTTTTCTGTACAAAAATTTGTTAGCCTTTCTGTTTTTGTTTATATTAGTTTGTTAACTTATTTAAAATTGAGTCAGATGGGTGAATCCTTTTTTTCCTTTTAGGAAAGTTTTTTTTCAAGATGTACTTTGCTGTCTCTGAATGTTTGAATATTTATATTATTTGTCCACACCTTATTCTGAAAATACGGGAAGCCCTGTAGGATATTTTAAATAAATAAATAAATAAAAAATAAATTGGCGGCTGCACAAAACATTTCCAATATATGAAATTATCTGCTTTCAAATAACACACTAAAGTCTACTCCAATATTATAATTTATGTCTCCATAATTTAATTTAGTTAGATTCTGCCCGGAGCAGCGAAAGTGAACATTTTCCCAGTTCTCCAAAGCAATTTTACTTATATTTAATTAGCCTTGTCGACACCACTTTGTTAAATGATAAATACAATGCTCGATTAGATTTACGGCCATGTCTAATAATTATTTTTTTTATTTCAGGTCTCCAAATAGTGTATGACTTCTCAAAACCAAATGGTCAGAAGGTAGTTTCAATGAAAGCTCGTTGTGCAGACTGTCTAGTTCCTGTTTACGAAGATCTAGTACCAGAAAAATTATACAGTGTTGCCATTCCCGGATTCTTAACAAATGGAGGCGATGGATTCACTGTGCTCTCAGATAATTTAATCAATAAAAGAGTGGGATTTGTTGATATGGACATTTTTATAGACTATTTGGCAAACAACTCTCCAATTTCTGAAGAAATAGAAGGAAGAATCACGATTCTAAATTAAAAGATAAATAAGTATTATGTAGATATTTTTTTATTAATAAATAAATATTGAACTTTCATTGCGTTTATTGTTTAACCAATATTAGTAGAGTAATAGTAATTTACGTTACAAGACCGGAAAGTAGTGTTTTGCATGTCAAAAATAATAGCAGTCGGTTGATCAAAATATGAACGGAGATTGGCTGATTTAATTTTTTTCCAGTGTTCTCACTACCTAGAATAGATATGAAATATATTCGATCAATTGAAGGCAATAGCATACTTTTTCGTTTTGTAATATGTGCGTAGATAAGTTAATCATGTGGGTGTAGAAAAAATATTTTACCGTTCCCTAAGGTCTACTTTCCGGTGTTGATCGGCAAAACGTTATTTTCTGGACTAAAAATTGTTCAGAAAGTGCATATTTTCTGGTCGGTCTTAAAAAAATAAATAAAACAAAATAAACTTTGTAAAAAGAAAAACGTATAGGTACTTTATCTGTTATGAATTGAATAAAATTACTTTTAACTAAATTTATGACATTCACAGAAAAAAAGGTGTACTATATTCAAGATGAATGGTCTTATTTCAATGCTTTGTTGTGTTTGTATATCCGCAAGTAAAACTCGTCTCGATTTAAAATTCTAGTAATACTTGTTCAACAATAGCTAATAAGCCTTGCTTCAAGATTAGAATCAACTTGCCCTAACCAAAATACCTCTAATTAAATGAAGAGTATCTATTGGGAAATTTCTGAATTTCAGTATCTATTTTTTTAGCTCAAAATGGAAAACTGGAGGAGGGATGGTGAAATCTTAATAGTACAGGGTGCGACAAAATGATAGGTACTATTTGGGATGTAAATGAGAACCAAATCACATAAAGCAACATATTTTAAATTATTATTGAAATCTACATTTTATGCCATTTAGGAACGTTTTTTTTTAAATGATAACTTTTAAATGACGGCCATTATTGTCGATGCACTCTTGTAGATTTTCACGGAAGCGCGACATTACCCGATGGATCCTTTCTTGGGGAATTGCGGCAATTTATTGTCTTATAGCTGCCTTTAATTATTCCAAAGTCCGCGGACGATGTGTAAAAATCTCGATTTTGGTAACCCCAAAGAAAAAAGTCGCAAGGCGAACGCAACGGCCAGCAGAGAACACCTCGTAAAGACACCACTTTGTTTGAGAACATTTCCTGAAGAATACTAAGTGCACGACGCGTAGTGTGCGATGTAGCACCATCCTGCTGGAACCAAAGATTTTCTCGTTGATTAACGTTCAACTTGTTAACTTTTGGACGTAGGAAATTGTTAAGTATATCAAAATATCGATCTCCGTTGACTGTTACTGTTATTCCATCTTCTTCGAAAGAGTAAGGACCCCACACGCCGAACTCTACAATGGTACGGTGGAAGCCATAACACATCATGTCCATAACTATGTATGACTTGATCTTCCATATAAATGTGTGGTAGTTCATGCGGTTTGGCTAAAGTTAACAACTCATATTTAAGGACGTATTGTGTAAATGCAACATTTTCGTTACGTAGCCATTCTTGTATTTTGGCTACAGTCCAGTTCTGTCTTGGCGGTTTGTTTAAAAGTTCTGTGTGAAAGCTCGCATTATCTAACACTATAACAGACGGTTCACTTAAATTTGGTAATAGTTTTTCATTTAACCATTTGATAAACATATCCGAGTTCATGTTATCGTAATAGTCTTCTGATTTTGATTTAGAGGAAAATATTAATCCTGCACCATCCACAAATCCATTCTTTCCACCTGCGTATAAGATTATGTATCGCTTTCCCTCACCATTAGTATGTTTTATTGATTTTATATTTTCATCATGCTATATTCTTTTCGTCCCACCTTTGGAAAATATCCAGGTTTCATCCAAATATATAAACGAAGCTCCATTCTCTTCTAAACGAGTGTATTCTCTTAAAAAATGTATTCTTTTGTGAACAACATTATTTTTTTCACATAAAGCTTTTCTATTATCTTCTTTCTTAAATTTAAAACCTATCTCCTTAAACAACTTCCGCTTCGGCATTTTCAGTTTCGACATACCTTCTCTTCGAAATCCAAAACTGAACTAAATAATTTAGCGCAATAAGTCCTATAACATCAGTACAAAAATAGAACATTTAATCTTAATTTTATACCCGAGAAGGGGACTTCCGGAAATTCCTGACTATAAAGCTTTTATTATATTCGGGGAAAATGGTATTACCATAAACAATGTCCAAAACAAAATTATAAATATTTTCATTTTTTCGGGTACGAGTATTACTTTAGTAATTTAATTTTAATAAACATAATTACATACTATATAAGTATTTAAAAATTAAAATATATTCACCCTCTACCCACCGGAGGACTACGCCTATTATACTCAACTACCTAATGCGAAATTATCCTGTAGATCGGCTCAGTCGTGCATCAGTTTCTTAATCCGGTATGGGTGTAAATTCAGTGAATGACCTATAACTGAAAACTGCATACTTTTGTCTACCTATTAGCTAACGCGACCGCGTGTTGTGTTGCCGCTTTTACAAACCGAGCAATCACTATTTAAAATCCTGCCTACCATTTTGCCGCACCCTGTATAAGAAATAAATTTGATTTATTCTTAAAAGATAGTTTCTTTTTGAATTCCTTTAATTTGGATGCTGTTTATTTGCTAATAAACTAATGCTAGAATTTATTTTTTATTTAAGAAGAAATTTTTATTTGTACAATATTACAATTTCTATATTATTAAGAAAATTAGATAATTATTATTTATGATGATTGGATTTTATAAGTTGTATAAAGGTCAAAATTAAGAATATTAAATAATTGATATTATGTGTAAATTAAATTTATTTACTCACACAAATTTGTAATTTACAGATTTGTAGGTCTTAAATAAAACATAAAAAACACCAAAAACATTGCAATTTATTTTTTAAGATTAAATACACAAAACATTATAATTTATTTTTTAAGATAAAATACACAAAATACATATAACCTAATATAATATGAATTGTAGATACCTGAACTATCATTCTTACCATAAACAATCTATGAAAGTGAATTTAGTAAAACAAATAAAAAACAGAGTTTTGAAAATCTCAGACCGGTCTTTCCATAAAAAGAATCTAGATATCATTTATAAACTTTTTATTGACAATTCATATCCAAAATCACTCCTTAATAAAATTATATACAGTACATCATATACAGTTAATGAATTCATACAAAATAATGAAATCACCCCAATTATTGAAAACCATGATCAAAACAGTGATAATCTTACACCACATACCCAAAATACTGCTCTACTTAATAATTTAAGGAACTTAGCTCCCAATAACATGAATTTAGTTGTTTCACAAGAAAATAACATACACTTTACCTCTTTACCTTACATCAAGGATATCACACCTAAACTATCAAGAATTATAAATATTAATAGTAACATTAAAATAGCCAATAAGGCAGTTCTAACAATAGGCTCAATCTATTCTAAACTCAAAGATAAAACCCCCTTAAAATCATTATCAGATGTTGTATACAACATTCCTTGTCTAGAATGTAATAAAGTCTATATTGGTCAAACACAAAGACCTATCTCAGGTAGAATCTCCTCCCACAGAAGTGATTGCAGACTGCATCCGGAACGTTGTGCTTTGGCTGAACATGCTAATAAATATCAACATAATATAAATTATGACGAAATTAAAATATTAGCCATTGAAAATAACTACCATAAAAGACTTTTCTTGGAGATGGCTTTCATTTCACAGGAACCAAATTCTATGAACAAAAAGACAGATATTAACAATTTAAGTGAAATTTATTCTTATTTATTGGATTTGGACAATAAACCAAACCAAATTCATAATTTAAATAATACAGAGCTAATTTAATATAAAAATCACTCTTTGAACATTTAAAAAATATTAATGTTATGTAAACATAGCATTATCCACATTTATTTCCTAACCTCTAATAACTTGTTATTTATTTAAAATTTTACTTGTCTTGTCAAATTGACCTTTCGATATTTATATTTTTTTAAAGTATCGTAGTTATTATTTTTTGTGTGTATTTGTAATTGACTTCAGCTTGTCCATTTTGTACACTAAACTGAATAATACCACCAAAATGAACAACCTTAATTAAGATGTAAGTAAAAAAATTTTTACCTTACTTTATCATCATATGTGGTATTATTTTATTTTAGTCTCCCTGATGATGGAAATAAACATTTCCGAAAGCTTGGAATAAACTTAAAAAAGTAATCTTTCATTTGCTGCATTACCCACAAATTACTGGTTTAATTATATATATATATATATATATATATATATATATATATATATATATATATATATATATATATATATATATATATATATATATATTCGAAGTACCTTTCGACATTCACTTAAATTGGCTGGAATATTGAAAACAATAATTGAAAAATTTAAAATTTTAATCAATAAAGATACATCTGTCAAAGTTATGAGACGTGAGACGGGACGGAGGAGGCGACGAGAAGTAAAGTGCAACCTTTACTAAACCGTTAATGAGAGATTAATGTTTAGCAAGTCATTCACTATTTAATGACCGTTTATACAACCCGCATTTTGTAAACGTTTTAAAGAACAAAAAAATCAATGACAAAGATTTTTTTAACTTTGGTCAAGAATTTTGAAGTTTCAGCCATTGTGCGACGTTACTAAACCGCAGATCTTTTTCCAGCAGTTATTTGATGAGTTGATAGCTTGCAAGACTTTGATAATTTAGGAGGCTGGCTGTCTCTAATCACCTCTTAGCAACAACCAGTAGGTTTTTGACATGTTGAGAAGCAGATCATAAATGGCCCTGGAGGATGAACATTGTTCCAATGAGGCCTAAGTGCTGTGGAAACCACCCTCTTCACCTACACATAGTCCCATTAATTAAACGAATAAATTATTAATATTTATAATTGAAATTACAATATGTACAAGGCAACAATGTTTAGCAAGAATAAATGAAAATAATAAAAAATAACACCTATAT